CATCATCATCATCATCATCATCATCATCATCATCATCATCATCATCATCATCAAATTCGAAGCAATTTTACTTCTTTTTTTTTCTTCTTTGAAGCATAATAGTTACAATAATGTTGACATAGTATTGTTTAAGTCTATGCAACAAGCAACTTATATTGGACAAAAGAGGAACTTAAATACTTTCCAACCTCACACCACAACTCAAATTGGCCAAAAGCCAAAAAGCGACACTTTATGTTTCTAAATTGGCACAACCATTGAGCCATTTCGTTTTGAAACTACATGTGATCTCTATTTTGGAAGCAAACTAGAAAACCCCAGATTCTCACGACATGTGTTATTCATGTTGGACAATTTCATAAACCAATTGCATGGTTTCTGCGTTACTTAAATGCTGTCGATTATCCAGCAATCAAGTCACGTGACATTTTTGTTACCAATTAGCGTTTGGTGCGTGTAGTTGCAACAGGTTTGTAGGCCTAGGGTCAGAGAGGCAATAAGAGCAGAGAAGGAGTGGTTTGTTTGAAGTTTCTTCCCTGAGCTGACGTGGATGGACAAGAATCTCTTTAAAACTTTTCCTGTCCCGGATTCAATTGCGCACAGGTTGTGTAACAGCGCATTGTTCGTTTTGACCGGTTAAATTAATAGTCGTACAGTTCTACATTAGTTGGTGTTGCGTAGTGCGCTCGTTTATAGGAACAGCGATGGACAAGCTTGTTGTGATTTCACTGCTGGTCTTTGTAATAGTCGGTAAGTTCCAAATGTCATCGCTTGACTCCTACGTCTAGCTTTTCCTGTTTAGCTTAGCTTAATTGCGACGAGTTTTACGGCATTTTCAGCACAAATATAGGTCATTTAAGTGTTAAAGTTTAGAGGTGTTACAAGAGAGTAACGTACAAAGAAAAAAATGAGTAGAAAAACGGACAACAGACAGGAAAGGAAAAAAGTATCAAACCACACCAGACCACACTCGTAAAACCGTATGCGGGGGCTCTCGTGGCCTAGAGGTTAAGGTGTTGGCCTCTCATTCAAAAGGTCCCGGGTTCGAATCCGGGTGGCGACTGAAAAATTTTGTTCTCTAAATTTGTCTCCTTTCACCTCATTTTCCTGCTCTCTAGCAATGTTCTATCGTCTGCTTTCGTCTTCTCTTTCTGCCCCCACCCCCTCACCTCCTTTGCCTCTTCCTCTGGGCTCCTTATTCTGTCTGCAGCCTTTCTACTGCTACTCCTTCGCGTCTTCTTACTGCTGTCTTTCAACCACACCCCTGATCTTCTGGTAGGAAAGATCTACACATAGCCTTCTCGCACAAGGGCGAAAAATCTCGGATGTCCCGTGTGCAAGTTGTGCACGTTAAAGATCCCTTGGTGGTCTAAAATCGATTAGAGTAGGCTTCGGCCGCCACCAGGGCAAAATTCAAAATTTCCTACCAACTGAAAATATTAGGTGTGTCCCGCGCGCTCATATGACCTTATGCAGTTGCGAGCGCGTAAAACACTTTACAAAAACAAACAAAAACAAAAAACCGTATGCAGTTGCGAGCACCGTAGAACTCTTACTAAACAAAACAAACCACACCTGAGCTCGCTGCAACAACCCCATTTTCTTGTTTGAGAACGATAATTATTCTCGTAGGAATGTGCAGTGTAATTATTGTGTACGGAGGGTGGGGGGGGGGGGGACTCTGTTGGCCCAGAGGCCACAGTGTTCACTGAACAAGCTTTAAGGTGACACCAGTAACTCCATAAGCCCAAAAACCTGACGCAAATTTCTTTACTTCTGTTCAAGATAAATGAATATGACTGCGAGGCATGTTGGTGAAATCAAGCGCTCGTCAAACTAATGGAATTTAAGAAACTGGCAGTTTTCCGTCCGTTTGCCAATTTGTATCGATTTTTTTTTGTTGTTGACTCAACACCTTTAAGGCCCATTTTTAACAAATCAAATTTCTGTGTGGATTTTACTGAACAGGCCTAAAATGTTGGTCTACGGCACAAAAATGTAAATTTCCACTTTTTAAGGACTCTCAAGCTTCGGAAGTCGCAAAACCTTGCGGCCATTTTCTCGCTAATTTTACCTCTGAGACAAGGCGAATCCCACCTCCTTCAATCACATAACATCTCAATTTCTATTCATGATGTATAAGTACTTTTTCATCGAAAACAAGACAATTGAACAACCCTTTAAAAGATACCGATAACTCCACATGTCCAAAAATTGACGACCGCCTGATTCTACCGCGTCAAGACAAATACATGTATTCTTTTCATCAAAACCAAGACAACTGAACAAACTTGAAGGTGACATCAACAACTCCATATGCCCAAAAACTGAGGCAAATTTCTCAACTTCTGTTAAAGATAAATGAATATTCTTTTCACCAAAACTAAGACAAGCGAACAATCTTTAAGATGACACCAATAACACCATACGCCCAAAAATTGACGAACGCCTGATTCCACCACGTTGTGACTCATAATTTTGTAATTCCTTTCTTCTCTCCGCTTGTAGGCTGATTGTCACTTGACTTAGCTCTCCACTTGACCGTTACCCCTTCACATCTCTCTCTATTTCTCTCTCTCTCACTCTCTCTCTCTCTCCCCATCTCTCTCTCTCCCCATCTCTCTCTCTCTCTCTCTCTCTCTCTCTCTCTCTGTCTGTGTGTGTGTGTGTGTGTGTGTGTGTGTGTGTGTGTGTGTGTGTGTGTGTGTGTGTGTGTGATTTGATGGCTCACTTCATGCCCACTCACAGACTAGGGCGATAGACAGACGGAGCATGGTTAGACACGGGAGTCATCCAAAGTATGTGACAACGTAATACATGTATGGTGTTTTGTTCCTCTCTCTCTCTCTCTCTCTCTCTCTCTCTCTCTCTCTCTCTCTCTCTA